CCAACTGATGCCTTTCCTCCTGCATGCCAGAAAGGATCAAAGCACGGCCAGTATTAGCCCAATTGTTAGGCTGCAGCGTAGGAATCATTCCTGCTAGTAGCGATCTGCGAGTTTAGTGCAAAAACGCATGATCGCACCGGGGAGCTTGGTGCGTTCCAGTCTGGGTCTGTTTATGCTGTATGCAAGTATCGGCCAGCACCAATTTAGAATCAAACGTTTATACCGTGTTAGAATTTAATAGAAAACTTTTATATCCCATTTTCTCATAACGAAAAAATTAACGTGTACCAAATTTACATTTAAAATATCGTTCAGTGACTGAAAATTTCTGATTACGCTATTCTTTACTAATCGGTTATACCATTTAACACGACTTTTCAGCGATATTTTCCTTCTAAGAAATTCTGGCTGTGAAACTATTGTAAGAACCAATTTTTCCCTTTTTTTGACAAAAAAACTACAATCCACAGATATTTTAGTGGGGATTTCTTTAAGCAGCTCCATATTAACACGTCATCGGTAGAGATGAACCTGCGTAGTTCAGGAGTACCATGTCACCAGTAGAGATGGCTCCTGTCCCTTCACACACAGACGGTCTCATGCATCCTTACACTACCACGCTATTCCCTACACCATCATTTCACGCATCCCAGCCAACCTATAGCATGAAACTGAAACAAGTGAGCAATTAAATTACAAGTAAATTTTGAGAAATCGCTACTAAAATTTATTTTTCAAGATATCTGGGAGTAGAACACTATGAATGTAAAAACAGACCAACGGCCACCGTAATAACACCTTTGCCCAAAAGGCTTTCCACCAGTACTGGTTCGTTGCGATTATCCCGATCACCAAGACCTAGCTGTCCAAATCTGTTATTGCCCCACGCAAAAACTAGTCTTTCTGACGTCAACAATATGCTATGCCGATCACTGATCGCAATCTAAATTTACAAAAATGATTTGAAAAATTCTATTCAAAACTAGCCTAAATTTAACAGCAATTTTTTCCAAAAGCACCGTATTACATGCATCAATTCCTAGCCGCTAAAGCGCTTCATCAAAATCCAAAGTAGCAATGCCAGAAACGAAGCGATGATGCTCATAATACGCCAACGATAACTCGAAGTGAGTAGAGCTTACGGAAACCAGACAATTATGCAAACTGTCAGAAGACTTACCAACAGCAACAGTTAAAGTGACAAAAAAACTTACCAGATGCGCAAATGGTGAGATAGTCTATGAATTACAGCTAATTTGGGCATTCTAAGTACACATATCAGAGTCAAACAGCTTCAGTGTTTGATTTTTTTTTTTTTTTTTTTGAAGGAATGAAGGATTAAAAAAAAAAAAAAACTGCGGTGAAAGCAGTTGCCAACAGCATCTATAAGCTGGTTGATGGCCGCCCTTAAATGAAATTTCAAGCCCTTTGGAACAAATTTTTTCTTATGTCGATCGAAATTTGACAGCTTCCCGGCTGCACTCTACGTCTCATCTCATTTTTTTTCTGCACAGTTTTATAACTCACAAAATGCGACGATTATGCCTTTTCAAATGCGACACTGATGTGCACATAGGACATAGGACAGGAGTAGCAAAAGTAACCTGTTTGATTTTAATGCCAGCTGGCATTCCGGCAATCGGGCTGAGTGTAATATTTGATACATCAAATCGGTATAAGGCACTATGTGTCCTGGAATGTCGCTGTCTCCAGTTGCCCACTAAAGTCTCATCGCGCTCAGTTATGGTCGCTTGACGCATTAGCCTCAGGCTCCGATTTCTGCGCACTGTCTCAAGTGCATCTCGAGCAGTTGGCCTCTGTTCCGGCTCTAACTTCAACAAATCCCTTACAAGTAGCTTCAGTTCGTTGCTGTATGGTCCACGAACTTGATCGTACTGTGCCTGCAAAAAAAAATGGGGCGAAGAAGATCGACCTGCCGAAAAAAGATTATGGGATCAAGAAAAGAAATGTGGATTAAAAGGGACATAAGGGAACGTCGACGTTAGAAGAATCGACGAGTTAAAAATTTCAAAATTCTTTGCGTTGCAAAAAATCAATTGAAGGCCAGTTTCAGAACATGCACTGTGATCTGAATAAATTGAAAATACGAGTTCGTAATTTACAACCTAATTTTAATCCTAAATACAAAAGTAGGCCAACAGGAAGATTACTGTTTTTCCCACGCATAATCCCAAAAAAATTTTATTCCTCCCCGGATGTTGCAGGACTGGATTGGTCTATGTGTTCAATCCGGAAAACAAACAGAAAAGCGTGTGCACATGAATGTGAACATGTCATAATGAAGCACTGAAACAGTCAAAAAAGCATAAATCACAAACTTTGACAATCTTGTTCACTACGGCGGGTAGATTGGTACCTTCAAAAGCCCTCTGCAAACAAGCCATTTCGTATAAGATACAGCCTAGCGCCCAAACATCGCTTTTCTCGTTGTATGGCTTTCCTTCGCACTGAAATTACAGAACAACAAAATACTGCAGACTGACGAGTTTTTGACCAAAAAGGCTGCGAATAAGCCATAGTAACTCGTTTTTTGAGTACTCTATCGGTACAAATCATGCTTTGCCAAACAACAACTTACACTGAAAGCCATTACAAACCTCAATAGCCATTATTTTGTATACCACAAAGCCATACAGCCACGGAGGCATAAAGCCACAAGGTCTTTATAAGAGCAGTCGATTCTGCAGTCAGACTGATTTAAAAATTAAGTCAAAAGCCAAAATCTCTTTTGCATTTACTTTTTATGAAAAGCACAGGCATCTATAAACAGCTCGGCCAGTGAATCACATGCCAACGGCTATCATTTGCTGGCACGCCGTTGATAGCTTCATCACCTGGTAATTGCTTAGAAGCAACCCGATGTCAGGTTTAAATTCCTAGCATACGCCAAAACAAATTTCCATCACAGTTAAAATCGTAGAGGAATTAGCTATCCCACTACCAGAACTGAATCATGAATTTTCAGCACGCAAATTGTCACAGAGCTCTGCTCAACAGCCACTTCAAAACAGTGCTTATTATTTCATGATTATAGCAATTTTTCAGAACAAAGGAATTTTTAAAAACATAAAAGAATTGGAAATGGAATCTGTAGACTTTAAGAAAGTAGAAGCTCGCCTACATTTGTTTTACAAGTATTTTAGGGAGAAGAGAAAACAAAAACCAACCATTTCAGGACTGATGTAATATGGCGTTCCCACAATCGTTTGCGCTCCTTGTGCTTGTGTTTCTGTACTCATCATTCTACTTATTCCAAAATCGCCAACTTTTACGTTATTGTCTTTCGTTAAAAACACATTTGCTGTTTTTAGATCTCTGAAATTTAGCAAATATTCAAGGCTATTTTCTGTAACAGTGGATAACTCATTATTTCGAAAATCCCTAAAATGCTTTTTCAATATTTACTTTTTGTGTGCAGGACAAGTTGCTGTCAGCGTACCAAGGATATCTCAAAGTATTTGAAACTTGCTATGTCGATAAAACTTTTGAGTTATTTGCCTTTTCAGAAACGAATTAGACAAAACAACCAAATCAGCTGGGAAAAATATAAATGGAGAAGCAAACTACGAATTAGCAGCCAAGTGATTCGGGAATGATTTTCTTTGAAGAGAAATCTAGTTACCTGTGTAGGACACTATTATCGTGTAGATAAGACACTGCGCTTAACATTTGCTCGAACATACGCATAATTTCACTTTCTCTCAACAATGATTCCTGACTTGATAAAAGCTGAGCCAAAGTCCTAAAACGAATCAGCTTTGGAAAACAAAATTTATGTGTCACATCAATCGTCTGCACAAAAACAGTATTCTCTCTCTGTGCAAGTAAACACTGCCTTTGCGCAGACAGCTAATTTGACTCACAGGTATTTATTCTCTAAGAGAAACGGAGACACTCGGGAAGTAGCCATTACTATGATGTTTAAGATCACTGTATGGTGCGATAAGAATTCGTAGCACGGATTTTTCTAAGGAACCGTGCTGCATGTGCAGAGAGCCCGATATTAGGTAACAGCAGTTAAAATTAATCGCTGAAAAGGCAGGATAAAGAATAAAAACGATTCTAATCTTCTGATTCAACACCAGAAGTCAAAACTATTCTGGTATTCATTCTCTAAGAACAGGAGGCGCTCAGAAGCAGTTCGAATGGTAACAAGTGCCAATAACAGCCACCCTGTGTCAATGCTTCTTGGATGAACCCGTTTCGAGGGTTCCTTTGAAGCAAGCTAACAGTTAAGAGATCTTTTAGTGATGACAATTTTACTTTAGGATGAGACCATACTACAAGATAGCCGATGGATGTGAGAAAAATAATGTATACCCTCCTTCGGCGTATTCCATTTCAATCATCAAAATACCATTTTCTTCAAATGAATCGTAATAACTAATAATGTGCGGATGATCCAGGCGTGATAGCAGTGAAACCTCAATTATGCGGATTTTAATTCTGTGACTGCGAGAGACCAGTTTAGCAGCCAGAAACATCCACTAGCAATTTTAGCAGCCAGAAACGTGTAATATTAAAAATACTAATCAGTCTGGATGTTATTACTGGACGCAATCACG